GCTGCTTGGACATGTCTTCCTGGACCCTCAAACTACCCATAAAAATTGGATATCACCCCATAATTTTGGGGGTCAAACCCATTTTTAAGGGGAATTTTGAGGGTTCCGGTTCTCCGTTCTTTCCAGAAGCAATGCTTGGCTTGTAAAAAAAACTTCTTTGGAGCAGCTCGGGAGGCCCCTTGTCTCGAAAACCAACCTACTGGTCACAGCCTGTCTCGAAAACCCATGAAAACCCCCCATTTCTAGCATCACCAAAACGCGGGTTGTGCTACCCTCCCACCAATTAACCTGGAAACTGACAGGGGGATCCTGGAAGACCATCTTCCTTTTAAAGGCACTATGTTCATTGGGAGGGTAATCCAGATTGGGGTTGCAAGGACTGAGACTGCCCGGGTTCAACGGCTCAACTAGGTCCAGTGGAGAGGTTAGAAGAAGGGTACCCGATTTCTTTTTCTGGGGTGAGAAAGGGCACCTAGCTGGGGGACTTAACAACGAGCACGCCTTGCGGGGGGCCCCACAGATCTCTTCGGATTCCCCCGAGGCGCATGACGATGCTCTGGCCCAGCGGTAGCTGACCATACCTCAGGAGAGTAGCCCAAACTGGGCAAGTGGACATTTGGTTCCAAAAATCTAAGCCTTGAAGGAACGAAGACATGCCTGAACCCGCATAATTCCAATAAAAATTGGTTGTTGCTCCAAAATTATGGTTGGTGAATTCCCTTTCTATGGGTAGTTTGCGATTCCAGGTAAGTTCGACTGCATTTGTTGTTACCATTGCGTCGCTACTTGCATACTTTCGCCGAAATCTCCGGCGGCCCAAAGGTACTCACCGCTTGACAAAAAGATCGCCCACTCCCCATTTGCCAACGGCCGGGATCTGGATCTGAGGCCCTAAACCACAGCCTTCAACCTTAAACCAGCCTGCGAAACTAAACCCAAGTCCGCCCTAAACCAAGCCATGAACGCTAAACCAAAACCATTAATCCTGAACCAGCCCCCGAGCCGCGAAAATGGTCAATCAAACCTTCCTTGAGCCACACGCCAAACCTTGCACCAAACAACTAGACTGAGACTGGGAGAGCTTTCTCTCCGTGAAATATGTTCGGTGCAGGGTTTTATACCTAACTGGCTCAACGCAATCGCCACTCCCGTTGACACTCCACTTGCGTACGGCTCCGATATCTAAAGAATCCATCCTTTTAGGTCAGGTTGGGCCTGGGACCTTTTCAGGGCCCGACCCCCGAAATTCCTTCGATGCGAAGAAACATAAAAGTCAGGTCAAGCTATGGGTGTCTAAAGAATCCAGGATTCGAACATATGGGTCTGTCTTCTTCGGTTTTCGCCCTCCCCCCTCCCCACCAAAACAAAAGTTGTCTTTTGGTGTTCCTTGGAATTTCACCAGAAAAGGGAGTAACCTCCAAAAAGATGGACTATGTGTGTTCAATATGTGGCTGGGAAGTCTGAATTCACGAGGATGTGTCAGCTTTTGCTCCCTTCAAACACAAGTCAGGCAGACGTTTGCTGTTTGCTGAATGAATGGACAACTCTGCGCAAAACGGCATATCTCTGCTTTCTTGCGGGCACCTCTTAGAGTTGGAAGGGGCAACAAGGACAAGCTTTCTTGCTAGGTCCCTGCATGCCCGCACATGCTTCAATTAGCTGCAAAGCGCATGTTCTGTCTCGAGCCTCAACCCGCTTACTTCGTTTCCACGTGGCTCCAAACTCAAGCCATCCAACAACGGGTCACAAGTTTCGAAACTGAATTTGGAACCGAGCAGCGAAGAATTCGCCGCAGCCGGCATGTTGGACGGCGCATTGGACGCCGGCCCAAGCATTGCGCTCCCAGGGGCGTTCACCACGGCGACGGACGGTACATTGGAGGCCGGCCCAAGCATCGCGCTACCAGGGGCGTTCACCATGGCGACGAAATTCCAATGTCGCCCAAGCAATCTGCCCCGGCGTGCTTGAGGCGCAGAGCAAAGAAGGTTTTGTTTGTTTCTTGAGTTTTACCGCGCAAGATACCTTTTCCGTGGGACTTGTTTCTTGCCGTTGCCGTTGCCATGAACAGATTGTTTACTCCGTTGCCATTGCAGTATTTCTTGCAGTTGCCGCTGCCATTAAAAAAGTAGTTCCGCAAGTCAACTAAGTTTCCGTGAAGTGAACATTGACGCTCAAGTGTATTGTTGCTGTGGGAGAATCTAAGGGTGCCCACACACACACACACACACACACACGTCACGCGCGCTCGTCCGCACGCCCTCGCGCTCGCAAGCCACAAGCCACAAGCCACAAGCCACAAGCCACAAGCCACAAGCCACAAGCCACAAGCCACAAGCCACACACACGCACACGCACACGCGAACACACACACACACACACAGACGCATACCGACACACACACACACACAGAAACACACACACAGGCACACACAGACACACACAGACACACACACACACACAGACACACACAGACAGACACAACACACACACAGACACACACACACACACAAAGACAGAGACACACAGACACACGCAGACACACACAACACACACACAGACACACAGACACACACAGAAACACACAGCCACACACACAGAGACACACAAACACACACAGAGACACACACAGACACTCACAGACACACACACACAGACACACGCACACATAGACACACACACACACAGACCCACACACACACACAGAGACACACAGACACAGGCAGACACACACAGACGCACACACAGACCCACACACACACACAGAGACACACAGACACACACAGACACACACACACAGAGGCACACACACAGACAGACACACAGACAGACACACAGACAGACACACACACAGCCACACACACACACACACGCATGCACGCACGCGCGCACGCACGCACGCACGCACGCACGCACGCGCAAGCGCCCACGCACGCGCACCCGCACGCGCACGCGCACAAGCACGCGCACGCTCACGCGCACGCGCACGCACACGCGCACGCACACGCACACGCACACGCGCACGCACGCACACGCGCGCACACGCGCACGCACGCACACGCAGGCACCCGCACACACACGCACACGCACGCACGTACACGCACGCACACGCACGCGCACGCCCGCGCACGCCCGCGCACGCACGAGCGCACGCACACGCACGCGCACGCACACGCACGCATGCATACACGCTTTCGCGAACCGCATCACGCCGGCTGTTTGAATCTGGCTGAAGCAAACTGAAAAGAACCCGCCGAAACCTCTGTCGAAGCTTTTTGTTCCTGCACTATGGGGGCAAACAACTCAAAACAAAGGGCGACATGCAAATAACTCGTCATACCAGTCGAGTAGCTCATGCAAAGCTCAAGCCTTCGAGTTCATGTCTCCTACACAAATAAATGGACATCTATTATTGATTCAAGTGTGCAAGTTTTGTCTAAAATTTCTAAATATATTGGCACTACTTTCAGGTTTTTAAAATCAATAGCCAGAGATTGTTAGAGGAATTGCTCAATTTATTTTCGGAATCAACGTATTTAGCCAACTTGTAAACTACTACTCTACAGAAATGCACCTACAACAAAAAAAGGTGAAGATGATGATGACCGGCTAAATGCAGTAGGTTCTTTGGTATTGTCAGCAACATTGGTGTCAACACTCACAGGTGTGTTCAGATGTCGGTGGCAGCGGCTTCAGCTTGGTTCTATACTCATTGACCAGTGCCATCTATTTCGCCACAAGGCCACCTAGTTTTGCGCCGCTCATCTAAAGGGGGCAAACAAGCCCCGCCACACTCAAAGGCATTGAGCGAAGCTGCAGTTGTGTTTTGTCTGCTCTTAGCTCGAACTGTACAAGGTTGAGCGGAAACGCAGATCGACTCATCTAGCGCAGCGAAGCAAACACAAGGACCTGGCTTGAGTGCAGAGTCCAGAAAAACGGAGACAAGGCTGGCAGAACCGTTGGGGGCTCCTAAAACTGAAGGCCGACAATTGGCACGAGCATCTTTGTAAGGGTGGTGCTTTTGCAAGCTTTTTTGGGCCCAAATCTGGCAGGGAACCAACACTTGGCGCCCAACCCCTGTCCACTTCGGCAGTTAGAAGACAGCCTTAGCTTTTCAACTCGTGCCCAATGATTTTCAGAACCCCCAGTTGTTCCCCGTGCTCGTGCATCCTGTGCACATGCAAATTCGAGCGGCAGGCCCTTGAAGACACCTCGGCTTGAAGATCCCTGTCCCAACCTTTCCCTTTTCGAGGGAAACGGTCTTCATGGCCCCAACCAGTCAGGTTCCATGTTAGCTGGTGGGGTGCTAACGAAGACACTAACCAAGAACGACGGGTGATCAACGCCCTAAACGAATGGTTTGGGACTGCGTAATCCCAAAGAATCCATCCTGAGGGGTGCGAACAGACCTCATGGAAGAAGCTCGTTCAATCTGTGGAGCTATCGCATACATCGGAGCAATGTGTTTTTTCAAAGCCAGAGCAGGGTTAGGCTACTAGGCCAACCCCATCTTAAAGCATATTGCTAGAACAAAGGTTTGCATTCACATCCCCTTTTGTGGGACGGGTGTCTCTGTGTTTGGTGGGGATTCAAAAGGACAACCCTTGTTGAATCCTCTTGTGTCCTCCCTTTGATCTGGACCTGGGCTTTGACTGAACTCATTTCATCCATGGATTCGGTTGTTCGTCGCCTGGCTTCCTGACAGCGCCGGAAATGACGAGCTTGCTGGTTTGGTGGTTCGGAGCATGGTGGTTTGGTGGCTTCAAATCAACCAAAAGAAGTAGGGGTTCAACTCTCCCAGCTACAAATCCAAACTGCACAAAGAGGGCCAGGGGTCCCATAAGTCAAGACATAAGTGGTCTGATCATGGCGGAAACGTCGATCCGCAACATCTGACCGGGGAAGCCAACTTGAACTTCGAATTCTCTTCGACAAAGTTCCCCGTAAAGATTTAAGCCGAGAGACGAGCTCGGACCGGGCCTCCGGTCCGGCCGACACGATTTTCAGCAAATAGAACACTGCACGCAGCCTTCATCCGAATCCTCAGCTTGCAGCTTGGAAACCTTCGCCAAGGCAAAACGTGGTTCGCTCAGCTTCCCCCTAATTTGTGGTTTTGAAGCCTAGTGGTTTGGTGGTTAAGGGGGGTTAAGGGGGAGGTTTTCCTGCTTCACAGAGGTTCCCTTTTCAGGAGAATGGTCATAGGGCTTTCTCCGAATTCAGCCAGCGTGCTCCAAAGGCCGGATGATCGGCTCCGGGAGGTGATGAAAGGGCTTGGTGCTTCGGGTGATTTTTTGGTGCCCTGCCATCCTAAACAACAAAAACAGGTCTTTTCCAGGACCCCCCAATGGCTGGCAAACTGTTTTGGGGTTATTTGCCAGCCATTGGGGGGTCCTGGCGGCTCATGACCCCTCTGCAGGCCGAAGCCCGGGCCTCCAATGAAGAACCTGGACCAACTCCTCAGGGGCCCTTGAAAACAACCCATTTTGAGGGTTCAAAAACCAGAGCCTCAGGGTCAGAGTAGAAAATCCCGAGGACTTCTCAGCAAACCCGAGGTTTACCAAAGCAGTACATCTTTTTAATTTCTCGGCTTACGGGCTAAATATATGTTTTGCACCAGTGAAATACGGGTGTGGCACGGCTTCAAATGTTCACTTGGAAACAATCACTCCAAATGAATCATGGGTGGTGTCCTTTCCTGGATAGAGGGGGGTGCATGTCTCGTATCTGATTCTTGTCACCCAAGGTCGCAATGCACTCTCTCCCAGCTCCTGCCCTGGTTCCCTGCAACAGGAAATTGATTTTCCGGGTACACGCCCATGCCGCCCACTAGTGGAAGGGTAAATCATTGCTCTTCGCTCACGTGCGTTCACTCTGATCTTTGGGCCCTTCAAGGGATGCGGACAAAAAACTCGCGTGCAGAGCGCCGCTCGCAACCTGCCCAACAAGGTCCTCAAAAGCCATTGAGCACATTCGGCCAACTGTGGCACTTCCCCATCGTTTCTTCAGGGGGCATGATGTTTGCTTCCCAAACATTTTGCATCATAGGGGAATTTGAACCGGTCACGAAACAGCAAGGTTGGATCCTTTCGAAAAGAGGACTACAAGGAAACGCCATGGTTCTTGGCTCACGCCATGGGTGGGTTCCAAGCATGCAAACATGTGGTTGAAACAGCCAGGCCCTTCCCTCAGGAAAACATCATGGCACAACAAATTCGCAGTGAGACCAGCACCCCAGCCGCTTTTTCCCATGTCCAAGCAGGGCTCCCTGTATTTCCCCAAACATCAAGGGATACTCCCTTTCACGGGCCAAAAGGGTGATGTTTCAAACGACATATACTCAGTTGCCCAAATGGCCCGGACATAAAAGGTTAACCTCTTGGCACCTTTACTAAAAATGGACCAACAGGGGGAAACCCAAATGTTAAAAGCTTGGCTTTGGGACAACTGAGTCTAGGACTCCCAACCATGACCCCATCCACCGCGCGCCTCGGAGCTGAAGCTACGAGCTCCGGCCTGGGCTCCGCCGTCCGGCACCAAAAGGCTACAAAGCTCAGGGACCGGATGGGAACCACCAAGCTTGGTTGACAAGCATGCCTTGATCTTCCACCCTGGAAAAGCAGGGTCCGAATTTGGCCCGAATTTTCACTTGGAGCCAGGATCAAAATCAAGAAGGACCCTGGTTTTTCCTTGGAAGACCAAGGAAATGCCCCAAACTGCACCTTTGCCTTTGCCTCAAAACCAAGAGGGGAAAAACATGATGCCTTCTTTTCTTGGTCGCCTTCTTCGAAGCATCAGGGGGCTCGCTAAAACAAAATAAATCCTGGGGACACGACTGTTTCAGGCACCAAGAAATCGGATATGGGGGTGTGTATTTGAAACAAATACCCTTTTTGGGGTGGCTTTAGAGGACAACCAACAGGAGACCCATCATTTTGATGGGGTCCCTAAAAATGACATACCTACATATCTACCGCGCAGGACAGGACATTTCACACACCAGGGTGGAAGGGAATCAACATTGGACAAGCAGTCATGAAAACCTTGGCCACATCTGGCTTCCAACATTGATGGCTAAAGCAATGGCAAAACCACGCGGTAACATCTGGCAAAGCTTGGAACAAGATGGACCTCTCGGACCTGGACAACTGGAACTCAACTGGAAATCATGAGTTTCCATTCACCAGGCGAAGGGGTTTTCATGGGAAATGCTTCAAGGACATGGACGCCTGTTCCGAGATGTTGTTTTTAAGGGATAGCAAATTGCCTGGGGCATCTCTTGATAAGAATTTGCAGCTCAAGGTGTCGCTCGAAGGAACAATTCTGCTCGAGTGTTTGGCATGCCTCACCAGGGACCCCCTCAAAGCGCTTGGACCCTCCTTTGGAAGGGCATGCGTCACGCCTCCATGTTCAACCGCAATGGAGACAGCCATGTCCTTGCATGGCCATGAAACTGGCGATCAATCCTTCCAACAATTGCTGATATTCTCACTTCCTGAGTGGACTGCTCCAAACAAGTGCAAACTTTTTTTAGCCACGAAACTTGTCCTTGGTCTTCCAAGGACCCGCAAAACCAGGGTCCTTTTTGATTTTGATTTTGGCTCCAAATGGAAATTCGGCCCTTAGGACCCTGCTTTTCCAGGGTCCTGGAAGATCAAGGTGGTGTTCCCAAAAAGTATGAAGTCCAGGAACTCAGGAATGTAGTGGAGATTCCCTACTGACCCGTGGCGAAAGAATCAAGTCTGCGGAGCCAAACTCCTCAACTTGGTTGCTGCAACGACCCCTCTGCAAAAAGTTGCCCACCTTTGGTGGGTCCGATTCAGACAAATCCCTCTTTTTCAACAAACAAGTTGATTTCCAAAGATCCAACTGAATAGCTGTAAAGGCCAGGTGTTGCCGTTTTTTGGCGGCCTTCGGCATAATGAAGAGATCAACACGTTCCGAGCTTGCCCTCTTAACACTACCCCAACTTCACATCCCGAAAGCGGCCTTCTTGCCAGTCTCGTCCCAGGCGTCGAACTTGCGGCTGATCTCAGCTCCGCTGGCCGACCGGCGCTTACTTGCGCTTGCGCCGACCGGCGAGCGGCGTGTTTACCCGATTCCTGTCGCATCACGTCGTGGATTGGCCAGAAAACGTACAAAAGTCCCGAGAGCCCCCAACGGCTGGCAAATAACCCCAAAACAGGCACTGGGATGTCATTCCACAGACCATTTGCCAGCCATTGGGGGGTCCTAATCCATGATTTTTGCTTTGCGACTAAAATGGTCTTCCCAAAAAGTAGAAAGTGCAGGAACTCAGGGAGCGAGTCACCCGCTCGTTGCAGAAAGGTGGCCCAACCAATTTGGCAACGTCGCTTCGGAGGTAAGTAGCGGAATGAGCAAAACACAAACATGCAACTGACATGTCGCTTCCATCAAGAAAAGCGCAAAACACACGTGTAGAGGCTTGTGCAAGTAGCATGAATTCAAGGACTCTCAACTTCCTGCTCTTAAAATGGGCCACAATACTGAGCTGTTCAAAATGGGTGGCTAGTCAAATTCCCCAGTGGAAAACCACCACACGGCAAGCACATCTCCCTAGATGAATACATGCACCCTGTTAATAATGTTAATACATATCGCTTTTCCAAGACGCCCAGATCCCCAATACTACTTTTAGAATACACCAATTCCAAACCAATACTAAACTTGCCGATTCTGCGCCAATCCCACCAGCGAGAACGTGTTTTACTCAAATCCTTTGCTCGGAGTTTTGTGACTTTGACGATTCTCGCGTCCGAATCAGGGAGGGGGAGCCCATTTAGACGAGGAGCGAAGGGGACGTCCGGTCGACCCCTAATTACTCCATCAATAAAATTCCGGCCAACCTCCCCCGTGCCTTCGCTTAAGCCTTCGATTGACGACGGCTCTGAGGCTCCGGCCGGGCCCAGCAATGCCTTCATCAGCCAGTCCCCACGCGTGAACTGCTTGCGGCTCTTTGCCTGCGCCCAAAAGTTGTTTTTTACGAGAGGATCCAAAGGTCCGATGGGATGATCATTGCTTGGACAACCACGAGACAAAGATATTTATAATATTTGATATTTCAACCACACGGTTGAACAGTTAGCGATAGGTCATGTGATGGCCAATATTGATCAACCCCCATGTGCGGTCGAAAGACACCTTGCATTTTGGGGTAGGAGGGGTCTTCAGCCCACCGTAGGATTTCTAGACAACCATGATAAGCGTTGCCTTCTAGGAAAACCAGAACCATGGCCAACACGTGGAGTTTTGAGCAGCCACGCAGCCTCAGGGTGGGTCGGCGGGCTACGGGTGGCCCGGGTGGATGAGGTGTTTTTCGCTGAGGGATCGGGATGCAGAGCGCAGGACCTGTGCGGTGCGCCATAGCCGCCATAGCCGCTGCTCAGGGCATTTATTCAAGTAGAGCCGGGCTCTTTTTTGCCCAGAGATAGGTCAAAGGTCAAGTGACAGCCGAGAGGGCGGTCAAAGCTGCAGGCCACTGAGCTATGAAGCAGGAGAAAGGCATCCAGTTTGAAGCCCTGGCACGAATTGCGTCGAAAAGCAGCCGGGGGCCTTTCAACCCCTTCACACCGGAGGGGGGCCTGAGGGCGGGGTGGGGGTGGTGGGGGCTTTTTTTTGGGGGGCCTCCCAAAAGCCAACCAAGGAGGCTCCCAAATGTTGGAATCATATGTATCTACAGCTGCATTTTTGCTTTCTTTCTTTCTTTCTTTCTGTCTTTCTTTCTTTCTTTCTTTTCTTTCTTTCTTTCTTTCTGTCTTTCTGTCTTTCTTTCTTTCTTTTCTTTCTTTCTTTCTTTCTGTCTTTCTTTCTTTCTTTCTTTCTTTTCTTTCTTTCTTTTGTGGTAGTTGCTGTTAAAGTTGAGTCGTGGCTCGAAAGTGTGGCAACTCATTTGCGGAGAGCCAGAGATACAGCGAGGGAGGAGACTTATTCTCGCGAATTTTGCACATCTTCACGAACTTCACTCTGTTGCTGCTGACCCCTCTGCCAAAGTTTGATTGTGGGTCCAATGGAAATCTGACCTGTTTCAACCAAAACGTTGAAGTCCAAAGATCCAACAAGATAGCCACAAAGCTCAACGTGCTGCTTTGCACGTGTTGTTGCGCTCAACTATACTCAACTGTTTGTGTTTGCATGTTCTTCCACGATCTTCACCCTCAACTTGAATTCATGGCTGTGGGTCAAAAATAGGGTAACCCCAAAATTGAACCCCAGGTGCAGACCTGAACTAAATCCGGTCCCCTGGTGGTTTCATTTTGACTCATACCCAAATTCGTTTGAGTATGAATCAATTCTAACTAGGGACCTTTTGGCGGACATCAGCCACAAGGGATTCATGTCCGACTTATCCACTTATGAGGTGGTTTCCTATTAAGATTTGCCATTTGAATGACCAGGAACCCTTTGGGGGACATTAATTAGAGGGCATTCATGCCAACCACTTGGGTTGACAGTAGCATTTTTAATGCTGCGGATTTCCGTCTCAGCCTGCACGGGGCGAACCTTAATTGATTTCCAGAACCAATGGACCCAATCGGCAGGAACGGAGTTTTGACCATGGCTCAGGCCACTCGCATGAGTTGTGTCATATCCCTGAAGCCTTGATTCACCGCACCAGCAGAGGTTTGAGGTTCCTTTTAAACATCCTTCAGGGTTCACGTTCTGTCAGTGTCCAGCAGTGGCTTCTTTGGTACTGTTTGTTTCCCCGTTTTTTGTCGACCAACTTGTTTTCTTGAAAGTAGAATATGAATAAATCAGAGGCAATTGTCTCGCTAGTTTGCGGTGCGCACAACGGAGCTTTGCGCTCAACCCGCCATATGAGCATTGTTTTTTTTAGAGGTTCAGGGCTTGTACACTGCTGGGGAGGCTACGCGGGGGGCTTCGCGGGGCCAGAATTTGTGGAAGGGTTGGCTTCGCGAGGCTTCGCGGCAAGACTGTGGCTTCGCGGAGTGGCTTCGCCGGGCTTCGCGGATGTTTGTTCCACAAACATCTCCGGCGTTGTTGAATCAAGTTGAGTCGGCAAGAGAGGCATTGAGCTTCAGGACTAGGGGACATGGCTGGGCCTCAAAGGGGCGGAGCATGGAAGTTGGACCGCGGTGGCTTCGCGGTGGCTTCGCAGAGGCTTCGCGGGGGCTTCGCAGAGGCTTCGCGAAAACGTTCCATCATCTTTTTTTAGCAAAACCGGGCCTGAAACGCACAGTGCTCTTCCGGTCGTCTTCCCGTAATCTTCCTGTAATCTTGTCGTAGCCTGCTGACTCTAAACATCAACCTTTGGAATACTATTGCCATGAAAGCGCACAACACACTTGCCATGAAAGCACGCAATACACTCAAACCACGAAATGGCTTCGCGAAGTGGCTTCGCCTGTGTCAATGTTACCGGGCTACGCGAAGTGGCTTCGCGGGGCTTCGCGGTACACAATGTATCGCGCAAGTGCCTTCGCGGAGCTTTTGGGAGTTCCCCACGAAGCTAAAACCCATCATCTGAGAAAAAAACGCTGCTCATATGAGATTCCCGGAAGCACCCACACACACACACACACGTCTTTCACACCTTTAGCTCCTGGGTCCGTTGGCTTAGGCAAAGTCCTCGGCTCGAGGTGAGGCTGCAGCCCAGAGCTCGCGCAAAACTGCAACGATTCAGAAGGACCAGTCAGCAAGCATGGGCACCATGAGGTGTTTTTGTTTTTTACCATGTGCAATTCACCCTGCTCCCTCTGCACTTTGCATCCCTGGTAGTTCCTTTCCTGAATGTATGGAATCATGCTGCATGTTATGCACATAAGGTGCATAGATACTCAAACGAATTAAATCATGTTGGAATCCACCAAATCGTGAATCGCCCGGCCTTTTTCAGCACCTCCAGCATCTCGCTGAAGTAGTCATCCGTCACATCAACCTCCCAAGCTTGCGCTGCCGCTAGCTTCTTCTCTCCTTTCCAACCCTTGGTAGAAAACAGCTTGCTGTTTTGCTGCCCCCCTACTAAACATGGAAAACAAAATCAATAAAACACATATGCCAAACAACGGCGAAGTAACCAATTAGATCGGTGCTTCTGTGTTTGTGTCACTCCCTCAGAGTCTTTCAGTCCCCAAGCCTGAGACGAAGGGATCATAGCCCTAGATCTGTAGTTGATTCCGTAGTCTCTCGCTGCGCATGCGCGATGCGCGATGGCCCGCAAAACATTGGGTCCTTCGATCCGATTTTGATCTTGGCTCCAAATGGAAATTCGGCCAAAGGCCTGCTTTTCTAGGGTCCTGGAAGATCAAGGCCTGGGTCCTTAAGACAACCATCCAGCAATAGGGTGCTCAGACCATGGCACATGTGCAGACCTGTGTCCCAATCCAGAAATCCTGTGGCATAGTAGGCTCTGGAGACATTCTTTCAGGGAGACATAGGAAAACCAACCAGTACAAGCAAATTCACTTCTGGGTGTGGCTCAAAATTTAAGAGCTGGGGCTACGCAGGTGTTCGTCTTTGGCTCCATTTGCCAAGGTGCCATTTTGGTACGTGTTGTTTGACCCTGGGGTTCCAGCCACCATTAAAACAAAGGGCTTAGTAGAACTTGAACCCTAAGGAGTTTCAACACCATTATTTGTTTAAAGGGAATTGCATCATCCATGGGTCCTTGCCTAGGTCCTCCAGTAGAGAGGTTAGAATAAGGGTACCCTTCTTTTTCTGTAGTCTATTTGAGTAGGGGAACCCAAAACCAACCAAAAACGGGTAAGAAAGGGCACTGGGGGACCTTGGTAACCCATTCTTTTCACGGCAAGGAATTTCGGGTTGAGCCACAGCCATCGGATTCTTTGAAACTTCGAGGGGCGGCATCGAACTTCTCGTCGATGTCGTTCAGGTAGCCCACAGCGTCTTCATCCGCGGTGCAGGCCATGATCTGCACCTACGGAGAAGTCCTTTTGCTTTTTCTGCAAAATGCCAAGACGCTCTATCCAGTTTCGAAACAAATGCCAACAAAAAGGGGGTCCACCGATTTTGAGCAACTCTCGTGTTTCGAATTCGGGCTGGTGGATTGAGAGGCGCTTCTTACTAAATCCTACTTGCTGATGGAAATGTAAACTGAAGGACAACCAAAAGAGCAACAAGTTAATGGTTTAAGTGGGTGGCATGCTTCTCCAAAACAACGGTGCTACAACTCCGAATGACTTGCACACTTGCCTTCCCAGTGATTTACACATGGTCTCACGTTCCCAAACTCGCTCGGAGACCGCCCTTGGATTCACCCAAGTACCCACTCAGCTCCATACCCTGAAGGTGGTGCTCGTGCTTTTCCGGGTCACAAGGCCTCAGCCGGACCGGACGCAGCTGGCCGGCGTATTTCTAACCCAGGTCCAAGTACCCTGGACTTTTATTACCTTTAAACGTCCCACAAAAAGGATTCCCCAACGCCCATGGCTTGGTTCAAGAACATTTGCCAATAAAAAAAGGATTCCCCACAAAACGTAACTTGGTTCAGGCAAATTTGTCGCTTGATTCCTCGAATCTGGGTGGACCTGTCCGTCCCACACAAATGCAAATGGCTTGGTTCAAGCAAACTTGTCAATAAACAAAAAATGGATTCCCCAAAAAACGCACATGGCTTGGTTCAAGCAAATTTGTCAATAAACCAAAAAACAAATCCCCGCAAAAAAAAAAAAACACACATGGCTTGGTTCAAGCAAATTTGTCAATAAACAAAGAAAGGATTCCCCACAAAAACGCACATGGCTTGGTTCAAGCAAATTTGTCAATAAACCAAAAACAAAACAAAAAAACACAAAAAAACAACACACACATGGCTTGGTTCAAGCAAATTTGTCAATAAACCAAAAAAAGATTCCCCGCAAAAAAACGCACATGGCTTGGTTCAAGCAAATTTGTCAATAAACCAAAAAAAGATTCCCCACAGAAAACGCACATGGCTTAGTTCAAGCAAACTTGTCAATAAACAAAGAAAGGATTCCCCACAAAAACGCACATGGCTTGGTTCAAGCAAATTTGTCAATAAACAAAAAAAGATTCCCCACAAAAACGCCCAAGGCTTGGTTCAAGCAAACTTGTCACTTGATTCCTCAAATATGGGTGGACCTGTCCGTCCCAAAACTCACTTTGGCTCAGGACTGAAGACTGTCAAACGCCTCGCTGTATTACTATCGCCTGGCAACCTCGTATGTCCTTTTCCTCGTTCACATGTTCGCATTTGGCAGAATTTGCGCGTATGGCCATGCTTGCGGTCATTTGCGCATACGACCTGGTTTCGGCACTGTGTTGCCCCTATCCGACACGCACTGTTCAACTTGCGCGCCATCGAAATCACAAGCCGATTTCGGCAGGCCTTGGGTCTATCCCCAAAAAGGCTTGGCCAACCAAACCCAGTCCCAAGAGGGTTGGTCAACCAAAAATGGGGGCAAACAACTATAGGATGTTGGTTCCGCAAAGCAAGTTGAGTTCCGAGCAAAGAATCCCATTTACAAGCAAACACCCGCAGGCCACACAACTCATTGCAAACAAAAACAACCCCGCAAGAACTGCTTTTTGGGACAGTTGGGATTTGGGACAGGGGAAAAAGCAGGTGGGGTGTGTGCTGGAACTGTCCGGAGAATGGATTACCTGGACCCTCAAACTACCCACAAAAAAGGATTCACCAACCATAGTCTTCGGGCTATATCCCAGGGTTCCATTTTTTGACAACCCCCAAGCAAAACTGAAACCCAGTGTTGGTTGATTTCCCCAAAAGGGAAACCCCTGGGTTTAGGTCCACCAGTAGTAGAGGTTAGAATAAGGGTACCCCTTCTTCTGTAGTCTATTCTTAGAACCCAAACTCCCAACCATAAAAGGGGTGAGAGTCGTCGGGCACCAATTGCTGGGGGACTCGTCCGAGTTGGGTCACTTCTTCAGCGTCTGGGACGCCCTAGCGCTTGAGCTCCCGCTCGAAGCTCTTCACCCCGTCGTTGGGCTCGCCATCCTCGAGGCGTCCGAAGGCCCTCTGCGGCGATCGGCTTCACTTGATTTGGATCTCGTTGAGATCCGAAAAGGGGGTCCCGCATTTTGCAAACTTGCAAACCCATTTGGCTCATGTGAGAACTGGAATAAAATTGGAGACAGGCCCTATGGGATACGTAGGTATGTTGTATTCACCGCTTGTTTCACTTTTGCTCACCAGGAAGAAGCAAGAACAATCCTCACTCTACCCGTATCCTCCACGTTTTGGGCAACCCTTTCGTATTCCGCTAGCTTGTTTGATTCGCGCAGGGTTTGAAGAGAGATTCATGTACAAACAGACTCGCCATGTTAGCTTTGCTGTTGTGGAACCCTGACCGAGCATTTGGACACCTTTGGGAGAGGTCAGCAAAACAGTATCCAAGGGTTCCAATCGGGTTCAATACCATCTCGGGCCTCTTCATGGGAAATCCCGACAGAAGATCAGGGGAGTTTATCAATCCAGGGTTCCCATCACGAACTTGCCGAAGTTCGAGTGGGTGCGAACCATCAGCGCTTCGTTCAACCACCCTGCTTGTGACCGAGCCCAAAGGAGGAAGTGTAGGCCAGGGAAAAAAACGATCCTTGCCCGTGTTTGGCCGGAGAAAAGGATGGAGCACCAAATGAATCCCACCTACCTGTGGTAGACCACTCACCATTTTGCCGTTGGCATTGAAAGGGTGGTCAGCTACCTTTAGTACCAATAAACGAAACTTGGTGGTTCCCTTGGTTTCTTTCCGAATTGAACACAGACCGATGGAATTCATTTAGTACCACTGGAAACTTGGTGGTTCCCTTGGGTTGCGAGTTGAAAATTCAAGCAGCTCCAAGTCCAAAAACTGCCGGCGGGCTGTTCTGAGATCCGGGCCGTGAAGATGAGCAGCAAGATGGGCTTCTCGCCTGACGCGCTCCAGCCCAAACCCGGAATATCTCGGGGAAGGGGATGTGCATGATCCTGCAAAAGGCTTTCCTTCAAGAAAGGAACACATTGGGGTTGTGGATCAAAGAAGGCATTGGGGTTGTGCGGATCAAAGAAGGCATTCTGCAAAGGCGTTCCTTCAAGAATCATGAAAGCCAGTGTCCATACCACCAAAAGCTCGGGTGGCTCGCTCAAAGGTTTGGCCAGTCGCCAGTTTTCATGACAGATTGAAAGACTGGCGTCGTTAAAAAGGCCACGGTCGTTCACTTCCGTGTGACGAAAGGAGCACTTTGCAGGTGCCGGGAGCGGGAAAGAAAAACCACCCCGTGTGATTTTAAAGAACGCCCTCTACAAAAAAGAAGACAACCACTAGAGGTGTAAGAACATTGGCCAATGTACCGGATCGGGATTGCGGCAATGATGCTTGTGGTGGTGGTGGTGGTGGTGGTGGTGGTGGTGGTGGTGGTGGTGGTGGTGGTGGTGGTGGTGATGGTGGTGGTGGTGGTGGTAGTGGTGGTGGTGGTGGTGGTGGTGGTGCTGGTGGTGGTGGTGGTGTCGGCGGCGGCGGCGGCGGTCGTGAGGGCGGTGAGGGCGGTAATGTTGATTGCGCTGGTGGTGTTGGTGATCATCGATGTTAAAAAATGGTAGTGATGGTGATCTTGGTGGCGACGGTGCTCATAAAAGGGATGAGAAGGCTGATGCTTGCTACGGTGCAGGTGGCAGTGGCCATGGCGGCGGAGGTAGTATTAAGTATGGTACTGGTAATCTTGACAATGCAACGAGTACTTATGAACCTTCCGCAGCTCATTCAAAACCAACTCGAAGCCCCTTCCGCCCTGCCCACATCTGCTTCGCGTCGACATAAACATCAATCCATCTTAGAGGGCAAACAACCGGGATCCACGTATACCGAATCATCCCAAGCCCGTCCATTTTCCATCTGTCGCTTGCATTTGTCTGCCTTCCAATTCCAGTGAGGGACTCATCCAAAGGAATAATGATTCTGAGTGACCCCCAAAAGAGCAGCCGAGTTCTTTCAGGACATTCGCAAGTGCCTGTATCCTTTTTTTTTGGGGGGGGTCTTTTCTCTTGGGTAAGTTGCTCGCAAAAACAAATACTGCAGGCTCCAGGGCTCCTAGGCTTGCCTTTCGACTGCGACCAATCCGGCCTTAGATATGGGGATCCCGGAAATCTGTTCTGATAGATCGACCGCCGAAATCGTCGGGCGTGTATGTTTTTAACGTTGGACTCCCCACCCCAAAAACAAGAAGAGTCCTCTTATTGGTGTCCCTTGCCTCAGACAGGAAAAATCCAGTCGTCTTGGTGTCCCCTTCACCATTGGTCAACTTACTGTTGTCCAGGAAAACTCTTCCCTCTGGGACAAGGGACTGGTAAGGAAATCCCCCAGAATCATGGCCATATCTTCCGAAGGGTTCAAAAGTCGAACGCCCAAGGAAACCCAAAGCACGAAACCTTCGTAAAATGGCCCGAGGTCGCCAACCAAAACCTCTGCACTATCATTTGCCCAGATTGGTCTTTTTGATGGTGCCTGACCCTTTCAAGGTTGACCCCTGAGCAAAAAGGATCACGGGACCATGGGCTGCAACCTCTATTTTTAACCAGGGGCTTAGCCTCAAGCTTGCTCCGACGCTACTGCCCCAAGATCTCCAACGCCTGGGTTCCCATGAATCATTCATTGTCCTTCACCAGCCGCAAAGTGACAAACATGGCTGCTGTTTGATGCAGGCAGAACTGCCTTGAATTCAGGACTCTCCAACTGAGGAAGCGTCATCCTGGGTAGGCTTGTTACCCAGGTAAACTTGCTGTATTGGAAATGCATTCGTCCGGCATTTGCCAGTTCTCGAAAGAGCCAAAGACTCTAAAGGTTGAATTCCATGAGGCTCACTTCTTGAGTGGATGGGCCACACAACGTCTAAACTTCTAATTTACCACATGGTCTTCCCAAAAAGTTTACAAAACCCATAGGGGGAAACCACGACTGCATCGGCTTTCCTTGCGGTAAAACCACCAAAAGGGGGGTACCGCCACAACAAGACATAGAGAAGTTAGAATAAGGATGCCCTTTTTTCTGTAGTCTCTTTCAGCAGGGGAACCCTCCCAAGAAAAAAAGGGGTGAGAAAGGGTACCTAGCTGGGAGCCCTGGCCCGCAAGGCACTTCCCCACCTTGGCAGTGCTCCGCCACGGTGCGCAAGGCTTCCGTGAGCGGCGTGCGCCCATTGGCCGGGCCCGCAAAGGCGCTGACCAGCCGGGGGTCTGAGGCGCTCCTAGCGCCGAGCTTGAGCACAAAGCTCAGGGATCCCCATCGGGACATGGGCGTGTCATTTTTCTCTTGCGGGTGCTTTGAGTTGGGAACGGGAATTCGAAAGGACACGTGCGCCATTTTGTGGGTTCTCCGATTTTGAGACAAAACACGCTGGATGCCCCAAGTTCTTCCAGGCGAATCATAATACACCAGGCTATGTCCAGCTCTGTGACTGCCGGCCGCGGGGATGTGCCCAGAAAAAAGCAGGGAACAAGGAAAACCCTGTAAATCGAGAAACAAATAGTAGTAATCAGAATAATAATCCGAATAAAAATAATAGTAATCATAATAATAACGATAATAATAATAATAATAGAATAATAATAATAATAATAATAATAGCAAAGCATGGCTTGGGGTTGGTTCACTGTTTACTTGTAAGTATCTAAGGCATCCACTGTCATGCTTACCAAGCTACCCAAAAACCCGGGTAGAAAAGGGTGGGTGAGAACAGCTGGGGCTGGGCTTTGAGGAGGAATGTCAAGTGGAAATGGACCCTTTGGTGGACATCGCACGACGAGCACGCGGATTTGTGTTCACCTACCAATTTTGTGGGGTTGCCTTCATTCAAGTTCGTGGGCATATAACATGTTATCTTTTTGAGTTGGTGCCCTTGTCTTTTCTGCTTTGAAAGTGACGTTTCACGGAGACCACGCACTTCTTCTTTTTCTTCTTCTTCTTCTTCTTCTTCTTCGTCTTCTTCTTCTTCTTCGTCTCTTTTTTGAGGAGGGTCTCCCATTTGAAGACAGACCCAGAACATCCCGCACACAAAGGTCTGGTCCCCGGAATCTAAATCTGTGCTGCTCGCTCGCTCTGCTGGCACGGAACAAATCACCGAAGCAATGATCCCTTTTAGAGGGGTACACCACTCCCTCCCAGGAACAAACATAATACATATATAATATGTATGACTATACATGTACTTAGAAGTATATATGTACAATATATATATATATATAATGTAGTAGTCTATAAAGAATATATGAACACAAAACTAGATTCATCTGCTTTGCTGACTCATTTGAGAGGCACACCGCCTTAGAGCTTCGTTGTGCAACCCACTGGACTGGGAAACCCAACCTGTCTGGCAGGGCACAAGGGGCTGCCTGCGATTCTCTGCGAAGCGGGGTTGGATTTGCTGAGCAGGCTGGCTGGATTCAGGAAACTAGGCTCCCTCAACTGGGGCCATTGGGAAAAGGGACCCTTCCTCACAAAGAAAAAAAAGAGGAAAAGGGACCCTTTTCAAAAAAGAGAGGAAAAAGACAAAAACAAAAAACACATGAAAAGGGACCCTTCCTCAAAAAAAAACAAGAAAAAGAAAAGGAAAGAACACATATGAGGCACTGGAGGTTCAATTATCTGGGCCGTGTGCCGAGCGATCGCTTGCAGTCTGAGGCTCTTCACGCCTCGGCCGGAGCAAATCATGAGGCTTGACCGGAAAGATCGAAGCGCTTTGTGTAGGCAGCTCGTGTCGTTTTTGAGCCCATTTTGGGATTGACAAAATGGACCATGGAAGAGGACCAATTGTTTTCTCACAAAAACTTGAGACAAAAAAAACAATACAGTTCGGGTTCTTCAAAACCCACATTTCAAGACTGGACTTCACACCTGCAAACGGCCGGCGGTTGGGCTTGAAGCGCCCAAGTTTGCGTTTTCCCGCTGAACTCGAACGAAGACGTCGCCTTTCCCTGCAAAGGTCTTTCCACGTCAAGAAGAGCGATTGAAAGCCCAAGGGAAGACCACGCAGTGCTAATTACTATTCAAGCAACAGCTGACCCTTGGAGCCAAGTGTACAAACCTGTTCAAAGGTGGCTCTCGATGCCCAAACAAGAGGTCACATAGTAGACAAGGACCTCGTTCTGAGGATTCCCTTGAATGACTGGGAGTAGCCACTATGCTGAAGGAATGCTATTCAAATAGCTTCCTCGCAGCTATATCGGTCCTCCAGTAGAGAGGTTAGAATAAGGGTATTCTTTTTTCTGTAGTTTATTTTAGTAGGGGAACCCTCCCCCCAAAAAGGGTAAAAGGGCACTACTGGGAGACCTAGTCAAAATCGAATGCAAACACTCAAGCCGAACCAAGGCACCATCAATCATCCCGCGGTTCAAGAAGAAGATGTCGACGCCGGACCTAGTGTTCGGCGCGCGACAACTTGCTACGCCGGTTTCAGTCTTTGGTTCCATTTACCAAGGTGCGATTTGGTACATGGCTTTGAGCCAGAGCCTTTTACTAAAATGTCCGACCTTATGAGGGGACACAAGGACAATCTGACGGAAGTTGTTGCTCATTTTAAGGAAGAAACGCATTATGGCCAAACGGATAATAGTAATGTATAATACCAATACTAATAGTAATGCTAACAGCAATATAGTAATGGTGATAATACAACACAGCAATAATAACAACACAAAAAATAATAACACTAAAAAAACATACCACCCCCCCACCACCCCCCGCTGTTCGCCCCCCTGGCCCCAAAGCAAGCGCTGTCCCCTCGGCCTGTCGAAGCAACAGGCGAGGTCCACCAGCAGCGCCGCCGACTCCTTCAGCTCCTCCCAGCGCGTGGTGCTGGCCTCGACGACGTTTTTTTTGCCGTTTTTTTTTCTTCTCTGTTTGACATGTTTTTTTCTCCCGCAGAAAAAAACTACTTTTAATACGGTTTTTCTTCGCCTTTTTGTTTTCTGTTCTTTTCTTTTTTTCGCATGTTGCTTCTTTGATTTAGCAGCCCATCCAGTCGAACACACAACAAAAGGGGCTCCCTACAAAAATATGGCTTTTGGTCTTCCCTTTGGACCCGCAAAACAGGGGTCCTTGTTGATTTTGATCTTGGCTCCAAATGGAATTCGGCCAAAGGCCTGCTTTTCCAGGGTCCAGGGTCCTGCGACACCAGGCTGGACAAAACAGGAATCAAGGACACCAGCATGGATGGCTTATGGAGGTCATTCCCTCATTTCCCTCATTCCCCGCTGAGCACCAGCAAGCGACATGCGAGGAGTACTTGTCTAGTTCCTCCATTTGCGTTTCAGGCCGGGCCCGGAGAAAACAAAACAAACTATTCGCAGTACCTGCGAAGGCCATGTGTGCGAGAAAAAAAAACGCCTTCGAGCAAAAGCACCAAATTTGGGTCGTTGTTCGGAAAAAGATCGTTGTTTGGAAAGAAGGTTATTTTTGTGGAAAGGTAGCCTGGCTCGTCTAAGATTTCCGGACTTGTCCACCCTTTTCCGCTTGTTTCCGCCTTTGTTCCAGGTTTTCCGCCCTTGTTTGGCTCTCCAAGATGAACTCTGCCCACGAAACTCCAAAAAAGGTCGAAGTTTGGAAAAATGGTGTTTCATGAAAAAACAGTTGTTTCTCGAAAAGACGGTGAAACAACACGCAAACGGCTTCACAGGTAGTGATATATTGTTTCCCTTTTACACCAACAGGGAAATACAACACATCTTAAGCAAATGGAAGGGTTTGGAATTCACTGCGATATTACAATTACAGTATTATGGCAACACCTTAGCAATATAAAGATATATATATATATATATGAGACATCAGGGGAGAGCGCAAAACGGGACGGCCTAGGCTGGAACCTTCTCCAACTCGTTGAAGGATTAGTAGGGACGTGTACAATCGTTGTCCACAACTCCCATTCAAGGGCCGGTATCCCCACACTCGGAGCTAGGGCAAGCTCAAATACATGTATATATATATATACATATATATATATATATGTATACATATACAATCATATACATCCACAACTCATGTGTATGTACATGTTGGCAAGCATCGTCGTACCTATGCATTCAGGCATCTATGGTCCAAACCCAAAACGTGACGAAAGTCCAGGGACTCAGGAGACTGAGTGGCGCGATAGGGAATGACCGTTCGGATGTTGGGAATGAACCGGTGGGGATCACGAGAGGAAACCATAGCATGTATGGTAAGGGTCATTCCCTCATTCCCTGCTGAGAACCAAGTAAAAGGTTAACCTTTTGGGGTAACGAAAAACATACCAAATAGGAAACCCAAAAGGTCAAAAGGTTGATTTGCTTTGGAGAAGTGAGTAAGCAAGGAAGATTGAGGAAGGGCTGGGGGCGGGGGTCTAGACATATTTTTGCCAGGGTACTCAGGGTACCAACGATTACTCGAGCTCCCTTGCTCTTTTGGTGAGTGCATTTGAACCACCCAATTCTCAACTACATTTGCTTGTTGCTGGAGGCCCGTGGCTTATATGGCAGTCTAAAAAAAAATGGGTGTTTCTGGCATCCCCTGTTGGGAAACATCCAGGAAATATTGAACTTTATTGTGGTGTTTAGGGCGATGTTTGAAGGGGATTATCAAAACAACCGCAAGCATATGTTCAGGTCCTGTCCAGTCAACTGAAGGAATCCAAAGAGGAGTCAGCCTGTTTTGGCCAGCAAGGTTGAACAACCGGTCAAGGTGAAACAATCATAGTAGCAAGGCCAAACCCTGGTGGCCCTTTGATCGCTTGGCTCTTCCTCAAAAGAAGACGCTGTTACCAGCCGTGTTCGTTTTCCTTTAGGAAAACTAACCCCGACCTCTAGTGGCCGCGGGAATCAAAGGGCGCCTGAATGTTTGGTAGCTGATGTCAGAGGGAGGCCCCTTCAAAAAAGCCCCCAGAACCCCCTGAAACCTTCCGGAACCCTCCCTGAAATCTGCTCCAACTCACCCCGGAGCTTATATATTGGGCAGAGACCCCATAGCTTTCAGCTGTTGGGAGAATCAAATTGTATCAGATGCGAGCAAACGGGGCCATCCAGTGAGGAGATGCTGGCAAAACCCGGCAGCAACACTAAGCGTGACTTTGAGTCACAACCAAAGGCAATGGGCAGCAGAATCACTTGGGCAGCCTGAAGAAGTCACGAGCTTGCTTGCTTGTGCGAAGAAAACAATCAACATAAATCATGCCCGAAGCAAATATGAGGGTGCTTAAGCTCAAGCAACACGCCGCTGCAATTTGCAAGGTGTCCAGCTCCGTCGTTGTTCGCGGCTCGAGTGGACGCCAAGTCGCCTCCCCAAGTCTCCGATGTTCTGGGGGCTTCGAGGACATGTTCATGCTGCTGGAGTCGTCCAGGATCAGCACCTTACGGGGAAAACCTCGTCGAGTGACGCTGATGGAAAACAGGAACCCTCTTTGGGGTTGACCATGCTTGGCGGGGGGACCCAAACGAAAGGGATAAAGAGGGGCAAAGGAGGCCAACGAGCAGTTCAAGTTCGCTCCATCCAGGAACTCTTCATGGACTTAGGCCCTGGCAAACAGCTGGCTATGAGAACTGTCAGTTCCAGCCACCGCCAAACAAAAACACTGGCCACATGTTGGACAGCTTGGCTTCGCACCCCAGTCGTGTACCTACCCTCTCTCCAATAGTTCAAGCTGGCAACTGGGTTGGAAGACTGTCGCCGTTTGGGCACACCTAGTGACTCTCGGGTGAGCACAGGCTTTTGCAGATCTGCAGCTGGCTTTCGGCTTGCAGTGTAAAGCTCGGGGGACGGATGTTGAACGGCAAAAGCGAAAAACGTGGCCAATGCACTGCACCCAGGAAACGCATGGGTCGTCCTGTGGACGTATGCCACCCCCCCTCCCTCCAGGCAGGGGCGTCCAACGGGCCAGGTCATTTGGACACTTGCCCCTTCTGTATCCTTCGGTTCGCAATCCTGCAAGCCTGATAACCTAAGGGAGCCATTTCCCCGGAGTACACGCGTCATCATTTCCCGCGGCCATGGGGGGCAATCAAACTGCCCTTTGGATCGCCTGTGCCCACGTTGACGTTCTCTCTCCCCGTTCTTTTTGGAGACTCCCGGACTTTGACCCCAAAAAGTGTCCCGCATCTGGGGCATGCCGACTCAAATTCCGAGCAGAATGGGCGGCCAAATCGGCATGTCTAGACATAGCCCACCAGTTCCAAGTGAAGCCGCCTTAACTTTTTAGGAAAATCCCCTTGGACGTGGCTCAGTGCCCCTTTGGCGCTCAGCAAGAGGTCAATTGGTCACGGCTTCGGGACCGGAGGCTCAAGCCGAAGTTGGAAACCGGGGAAGGCAACCACCAGTCCACCCCATGGTTCAGGGCTGCTTTTGGGTCTGCCGTCGCCCCCTCCGCCCCCCCCCCCAAAAAAAACAAACAAACGAACAAACAAACAAACAAACAAACAAGCAAGCAAACTCAAACAAACAAACAAACAAACAAGCAAACAAACAAGGAAACTAACCCCCAAAAAAAACAACGTACCTGGCACCACGTCACCAAGAACGACTCCCATGCAGTGCCCATGTCCCCCTGCCCACCAGTACCAAGGTATGGATTCCGGGCTCCCTGTATTTCCCCTTAAAACATCACCCCCCCACCACGGTACACTCACCTTTCACGGACCAAACAGGTAATGCTTAAAGTCGACAAACATGGAAATATGGGACCCCCGTGGATTCCGGGCGCGATCTCATAGTCCTCCAAGGCCGTAAGGTCGTTGGCTTCCGCGATGGACACCTCAAAGCCTCAAGTCCAGTTGCTTCAAATGCGAGATGGTGACAACCTTCTGGCTGCGGGTCTCATAAATGGAAGTTATAGCAACCCACAACTTTGGTTGGTGAATTCCCCTTTTTTTATGGGCGCTTTGGGGGTCCAGGAGCCTTCTTTAGGGGACCTTCACCTCCTCCCAACCCCAAAAAAAGGAATAACATCATCCCGTCAATTCTTTTTTTGTGGGGGATAGAGGTGATTTTTGTTGTACTAGGTCCAGTTTTTTTACTGTGCCCGGTTTTCCGTAAAGCTGCCAACATCCCCGGCATCACCAACATCACTTGGACCTGGGGTTGCCTATTGGCTCTGATTGGGTGGCAGTTGGGAGTTGCTGGGGGCTGGTTTAAGTTAGGGGGGTTTTGGCTGGCTTAGATCTCCATGAGGGTGAGTCTTGGGGTGGTTTGGGGTTGATTTAGGCGAAGCGAAGGGCTGACATCCAGGCTGCTGTTGGGCGGGTTTAGGGTTGACTTTGAGTGGGTTTGGGGTGGCTTGGAGCTGATTGTGTTAGGTGTGCTGCTGTTTTAGCAGCGGCTTTAGAGTTGCTTTAGGGTGTGGTTAAGAGTTTTGGTGGTTTGGGGGGGGGCAACGACCAAAACTCGACCAACACTCTCTTAAACATGGAACATGGAACTTGAGATTTTGGTTTCCTTTGAAGGGACCCCGCTGGCGAGATCCATGTTGCGCATCAGGGTACAGCGCCGTGCTCCCGAGTCTTACCACAATTCGGAGTCATGGGAGAGTTGTAGAGCGGTGCTACATGCCCGAAATGATCATACCTGACCCATCCCTTACAGAAACGGATAGTGTTATGGCTATTTACCCTGGATGCCTGCGCAAGGCCCTGTATACCCTGTCTCCAAACATGTTGTCAAGCTTTAACATATCAGACTTACTGTTGTAGAGTGTCTCAGTATGACTCTGTATTCATTTGATGCGCCTATGTCTCGTTTGCGAAACTCGCTCCCACCCTTTCCGGTTGATAAGACCTGTCCCATCCCATGAAAGGTCGCTAGTACTTGTGCAGATTCGACGGTTGGAGAAGCAAAGCGACACCCTCCACAGCGTCGACCCGAAGGGTCTCCGGTATTTTTCCGAACCTTTGAGCCTCATTACGTCGAGCTGCACAACTCGCGAGTTTGGTCGGACTGACACTCAATCATGAATCAACCTTCATCGTCGGTTGACCCTTGTTTCACCTCCGGTGGGCATGCCACCTGCGGCAAAACCTAGAGATGAATATGAAGCGCCCACCCATCCGCACCAGAATGGTCCGTTGGTCAGTTTTTCAGGGGCACGATTCGTATACGGGAAGGCCTGAAAGAAACAACCAACCCTACTAATTCAAGTCACAGTTCCTACATCAAGTAGCTCAACTCAAACACCTGCCCAGCGGTCTTCCAAGGAAAGGAAAAGAAGGCTTGATCCTGGCCCATAATTGGGGATCTGAGGCCCGATCCGCTCCAAAAAAAAGAGCACCCCGCCTACATAAATCAACTAGGTCCTCCAGTAGAGAGGTTGGAATAAGGGCACCAACTTTCTCTGAAGTCTATTTTAGTAGGGGCACCCTCCCCCAAAAAAACAAAAAAAAGGCAAAAGGGCACTACTGGGGGACCTAGGCAAAGTCCCTGAAAAAAAGAAGGCGTCCCTTCCTCTTCGGCCTCTCTTGTGCCCAGATAGGCTCCTTCCGTTTCAATCGCTCCCAAATGAGGCGCTACGTGTGGTCAGAACAAAAAATTGGTTTGGAATTGGTATGCTCTACAGTTAGTGTTTACCCCCTACACACAACACCCACTTTTTTTCAGGGGATAACGTCATCCCTTTGCTGAAAAAGCAGGTATATTGCCCTGAAAACCAGGTTTTCTCAAAACATACCCTAAACAAATGCGAGCGTTTGAAGAGGTCTTGATACTTGTAGGGCTGCCGTCAAAAACCTGACTTTTTCCCAACAACTATCTTAAACAAATGCAGGAATTTGCGAGGTCTTGATACGTAGGCGAGCGGCGGTCCAGGATCTGCTGCAGCCGCGCCCAACGCTGCGGCGACGCCGCGCCGGCTGCCAAGGCCGAGGGCATGTGGTGCGAGCCCCTGGAGCCAATGGCTGGCAAATGATTCTAGGGGCGGCATTCTCTTTTGGCTGGTTTGAACCAACCCCAAAAAGGGCCAAAAAAAAACACAGGCACAGGACCCCCCAATGGCTGGCAACTGGTCTGAATGACCTCCCAATGGCTGTCTTGGGGTTATTTGCCAGCCATTGGGGGGTCCTGGAAAGTGTCGGAAAAAAACACAAAACAAATCAACAACAAACGGGCGGAAAGCAAACCAGCCAAAACCAACAACGAGGTCAGCAAGCGTGCAACACGGGGGTCCAGACCGCGGAACAAAAAACCAACCAAAACCAAGGAGGAGGTCAGCAAGCGTGCAAAAAAGCGGTCTAGACGGGAAGGTTATGTACACATAAAAGCAACATGAGAACCAAAGCTCGGAGAAAGGTAGCCACGGTACTCCTGTCGGCCAGCGTCCCCCAAAAGCTGCTTTTTCCCATGTCCAAAATCCCAACTGCCCAAAAAGCAGCGGTTGGGGGGTACTGGAAGAGCATTATAAAACCGAACGGGACATGAGTTGACTTCATGATTCAATATTCAATGGCCAAAGCAATGTTCGGGGGTAACTGGTTCACACGCTCGAGACTTGAGGACCTCTTGTGCACACTTCTATTTGGGCAAAGTGTCAATGAGTAACTCCTGCAATGCCGGAGGACTCCATGTAGGCATTTGTGTGGGCGGGTGTGTTTGTGTGTGCGTGTGTGTGTTGTGTGTGTGTGTGTGTTGTGTCTGTGTGTGTGCTCCTGTGTTGTGTGTGTGTGTGGGTGTTGTGATTGCTTGCAGTGTTTGCTTGTGTGTGTGTTTGTTGTGTCTGTGTGTGTGTGCTGTGTGCTGGGCGTATTGTGTGTGTGTGTGTATGTATTGTGCGGTGTGTGTTTGTGTTTGCTAGTTTTTTTGTGTGTGTGTGTGCGTGCGTTTCAGTGTGTGTGTGTGTGTGTGTGTGTGTGTGCTCGCACGCGCACGCGCATGCCCGCGCCCGTGTGCCGTGTGCGTGTGCGTGTGGGTGCGGTGTGGGTGTGGGGGTGTGGGGGTGGGTTTGGGTGTGTGCTTGTGTTTGTGTGCTGTGTTTGTATTTGTGCTTATGTAGTGTTTGTTTGCTTGTTTGTGATTGTTTTGTTTGCTTGTTTGCTGCTTGTTTGTTTGTTTGTTTGTTTAATTGCTTGTTTGTTTGTTTGTTTGTTTGGTTGTTTGATTGTTTTTCTGTTTGTTTGATTGTTTTTGTGCTTGTTTGTTTGTTTGCATGCTTGCTTGCTTGTTTGTTTGTTTGTTTACTTATTTATTTGTTTGTTTTTTATTTGTTTGTTTATACATATTTATATATCACCAACATCACAACCAAATGTGAGAAGACATACTTGACATTCCGTGGAGCATAGGGCAAACAAGCTGCTCAATGTCGTAGCTGCTACGAGCGCAATGCCAGTTGCATTTTGGCATTTCGCAGCAAGGTGCATGTAGTTGTCAAACATGGTGCTGCACCCGTTTGTTCAAGCTGGGCAGGAGGAAAGCCTTGTGACGTTTTCCCCAGAGACAACGAATAAGAAAGGAAGCAAGGCCAAATAAGTTGCAAAATAAGTTGCAACACAACAAAGAAGAAAGGAAGAAAGGAAGAAAGCAAGGGAGACACAAAGAGACAACAAAGAAGTTGCAAAACTCCAAGGCAAGCCATGGCAATTGGTTGGTGCGTCTTCCCTCAGCCGAGTGGCACCACGATGCTAGGCGCATTTTGCCTGGGAGTGTGGCGACAAAAGTCCCGAAACCACCAAGGGAACACGCTGTGTATGCCTCTTAGGTATTGGGATATGGTGACGTATCCGAGTATCCCCCCGTCTTGTCCAACCACAGTGGAGAGGATCAGCGGTCTGGAAACACGTGGAAGTGTCATTGTGTGCAAGCCACTCCCATTCTACATGGGGCTATTTCTTTTGAGGGGGGGCTCAAAATACGGCGTTCTCTTTTTGGCTTATGCCAACCCCAAACAGGGCACAAGCAGAAAAAACACACATACAGTTATTGTCAATTGTTTTCTGGTTGGTTTCAGGGATGGCTCATCCGTAAGGCTGCAAGTTAGGGTCCATGTGTTAGGATCCTTTGGTGTGGCGAACATCGGATAGCTCAAAACCACAGGAGCCAGTTCCACTGTGAAAGCAACAACTCGCGGGGACACGCTTTCCCTCTGTAAAGGGAACCATATCTAGATATTACTCGAAACATATGCCACACATCCCTGCTTCTGCCGCATCCCTGCTTGCTTGTTTGTCTTTCTTCCTGAAGACATGGACAAACTGCCCCCCCGGCTTCGTAAACCGCTGGGGTCGTTCCCGTTGCCAGTTCCCGGCAACAGGTTTGTCAACCAGGCCTCGTCAGCCCCAGTCAAACTGGGATCAGATGGCGCGCGTGTAAGTCTAAGGCTCAAGAATGCCTCCGTGGCATTGCCGGAGTTGGGCAAAAACCACTCCACTCGTTGCAACTAGCCGCAAACCACTGGACAAGTAAACTACAGGGTTTTTCCCTCGCTTGAAATGTCTGGGACGTTGAGGTGTCAGGGCTGGTGCTGATTCGGAAGTGGGGCTTGCAACCCAAAGATGACATCTACCATGCTCATGCCGCAGGGCAATCAACAAAGAGTGCCCGGTTGTCTGCGAAAAGTCTGGGTCGGTCTTTGACTTCTTTTCAAGTCATAGGGCAACATATAACAAGATTGAAGGCCAAACCAAGAGCAACAACTTGCAGAGCAATGTCCTTGGTATCCGACCTTTTTGTTTGATTCGTTCCTGCTTGCAATTCGGGAGAAACAAAAACATGTTTTTTTCAGTAAAGCAGATGGGCCCCTGCGGCAGTAACTGGACTGAAGCGTTGCAACAAGATCACTTCGGCATTGGTCATCAAACCCCCAAAACCCCCAGCCATGGGACGTCTCTTCAGGGGCTTCTTCGGTCATCAGAGGCCACGTTTCTTCAGGGATCCTTACATTATACAGCTGGGCATTGCCTTGTAAATGGTGGTTTCCCTGTATTTTGGTGTTGAAAAAGCAACATATTCCATATGGTTGCAACATGTATCTTTTAAGGAGCCCTTGTCTTTGACCCCCGTTTCTGGGCAGAAAAAACACGGAGGCCCCAACCCACACGTCCGTTTCGGCCCGGCCGCGCGGGCAGCGCGGCCGCGGGCCGCGCGACTCTGGGCGCTGGGCCAAGCAGACCGCTGCCGGGTGCAGAGACCATGGCGCGGGGAGAAATCAAAAAGGGTTTCAAATCCCTTTCTAAAAGCTTGACAACCTTTTCGATCGACAACTGGGCGGTCGGTGCTTTTTTCAGATCCCTAAAAGTTTGACGAACTTTTGGGTGAGTTTTCTGGCTGAACCAAGTAAAACTCGAAAAGCCTGAGAGCACGACTGGGAACCACGAATTGGAAATGCTCGTAATTCCAAATCCAAGGAGATTTCAAAGGCGGACTTCCGCAACGATTTCTGGCGACTCCCCCTTAGCCTTAACCTACCCGGGTTTTGATTGTGGCTCATCTGGCTGATACTGTTTCTCATTGGTCATCTCTTTGTGGCTGCCTGAGTGCAAATTGTCCGTTTTCGGGCTTTGCAAAAGTTTGGAACATGTATCCACGCGGCAAGTTGCCTTTAGGGCAAACCCCTTCGCGAAAAGTGCATCGGGATCCGCAAGTCAGGGAGTGCCTCTGGACCCTTTTTCGTCAGGCGACGGCGACAGCTATCGGAGGAAGCAAAAGGCAGGATGCAACGCGACAACGCGAAGCAAGAGTCAGGGGTCACCGGAAACTGTCCCTTCACAAGTTGCAGTTGACTGGTGGTTTTCACTGAAACCACAATGGTAGGAACATCTTGGGAGTTCGGAGGTTGACTTGAAACCTCCAGCTCTAAGGCTTGCCAGTGTTGACTGTGGCTCCAAATGGCTCATGAGATCGCTCAGAGCCCGGCAGGAACTCAAAACTCCAAGGACATGGGGGGGGGGTGGGGGCGGGGGCACCGAATTTTTGCACCCCGCACCTGTTGTTGGCTTCCATTTTTCTAGGGGTTGATTCCGTGTCCATTCTTTTCAACCATCGTTCTTTTCAAAAACCGATCGCTGTTTCCCAAGGGTTTGAAGTGGTTTTGTAGAAAGCTTCGGATGCCTGGAATAGAACGGGGAAGGCACCCCCCAGAATTTTGCTTCTTTCAGGTTCATGGACCTCCCCTGCAGCCCTGTGAGGAGCGTTTTCAAGTCCGGGACCCAATTCCACTTCTCCCCATAAGGAAGAGCTCGGGTCTGCCACGAATCGGAGCTCCACCATCCCCCCCCCCCCCAAATTCCGAACTCCATTTTTTGTTGTTTGGGCTGCCTTGTCATTCTTGCTTTGGCTTTCTTGTTTTCTCCTGAACGTTTGTCCTCGGGGCGTTTGGAGGGGGGGGGAATTTTGGAGCTGGAGACACGGGGAAAAAAAACGCAACGCGGCGCCCGGCCGCACAGCCCGGCAGCGCGCAGGCCACCGCCGCCAGCCTCAGCCAAACCGACCGACCGACCCTCTGGGAGGCGGAGAAAGCGACTGGGAACCTGCCCCACATCGGAGACTCGGCGAAAAACTGGATAAAGTACTCGGCAAAAAAATGGATAAGCTGGTTTGGTCCTTCAGAACAAGATAAAACTCGGTGAAAGTACCCAAAACACACGTGAGCGTTGGCTTTCTATTCCCTACAGACTTGATTGGACATTCTTCAAGCTTCCGCAGACCCTTCCGCATCCTTGCCGCGACCATCGTTTTGTGGCCCCAATCCATGTTTAAGCGAAACTACCCATGAAATCCCAGAAAACATGGGAATTCGCCAACCATCATTTTGGGCTATATCCCATGTTTGAGGGAATTGGTCAACCATCATTTTGGGCTAGAATCCATGTTTAAGTCGGAATTGTGAGGGTTCGGGTAGATGATTTGGCTGTGGTCTCGCCTTGCACAGTCATCACATCTTGTTCTAATATATGGAGGAGTTGAACTGCATCAGCAAAAGCGAGCTGTGCAACTAAGCTCCGCGAATATACTGTGAGGCTATACGGGTAGAATCTCAAACAAGGTTATGACACATAAAATACATCAAGTGTAGCTGCATTGGCTTTCTCAAGACCATGACCCCATATTAATCAACCCCAGTTCATTGATGGGATGATTCCCCACTAAACCCAGGGACAACAAACGGGGCTGGACCAATATGGGGTCAACATTCACTGGCCCCACTCAGGGCTGCCAGGCCCTACTGATTTAGAAGGTTTCGGCAGGCCTGAAATCCCGAACCCGATTGAACAAAAAACGGCCCCGAAAGCCCAAGAATCAGATACGCAGAAGTAATTCATGGCAGCTACCCTCATAGTGTGCCTTTTAGGAATCGGATCCCCAAAATGAGTGGCTGTCCTCAACGACACACCATCTGAGGAACAGCAAAAGCCAAGCAAGTCCCAAACACAAGGTTTGCTTAAAACACTTGAGCGTGGCCGAAAACCCGCGAAAACCGGGATCCCAGTCACGTGCTTAGAGGAAATTCAAACGGGTCTTGCCTTGCCCAAGAAGAGAACAACTGCTTGAGGGCGAGTTGGTCAATACAAGTTCACCCCAAAAGATCCAGGCTGTTTCTTCTTCAGGTGCCAAAAAAGCACAGAGCCCAAACCCGCTTGTTTAAAAGAGGATCATCTTTTGTTCTTTGAGCCTTTGTCGCAAAGCAAAAAAAAGCAAAACAACCCGGGTCGCTTTTTTTTTCTCTTCGACTGCTGCTTCTTCGGAACTCTCGCCTGGGTACTCTCTGGCTCGAACTCTTCCCGTTTTGGTCGTCCGGTCATGGTCATCCCCGGTGCCCGAAGCCGGGAATTTGTGCCATTCACCCGGAATAACAATTAACACCACCAGGTTGACAGGAACCTCGAGACAGTGAAATTTCGGGTTTGCTGGGGTTCACAGATGCTTTTGGAACAGGAAAAGACGCTCTTCCACTCTTCCGCTTTGGATTCGCGCGGATGGACCCAAGGTCGCGAACTCACCTTGCTCTTCCCTTTGGACACGCAAAATTGCTGGGTCCTTCGATCCGATTTTGATCTTGGCTCCAAAGAAATCGGCCAAATTCGGACCCTGCTTTTCCAGGGTCTTGGATCAAGCTCAGGTGTCCATCATGTGGAGGTCCTTGGGCATCCGCTTCGCCGCCTGATTGATCTCGTCCATTGAGGGCGGCTCCGACTCGCCGTCCTGGGAGAAGACTCCGTCGGACTTTCTAGGTTGGTTTGCAGTCCCAATGGACAGCTGGCACAAGCAACAACGGCAACACCGCCACGAAAGGGGTTGAGTCCTTTTCCATTCTTTTCGCCCATTTAGGTGCTATTTTGGGTACCACTCAAGGACTCAAGGGGTTGAGTCCTTTTCCATTCTTTAAGCAACCATCGTTCTTTTCAAAAACCGGATCGCTGTTTCGCCTTTTTTTTAAAGATGGTTTCCTGAAAGGAAGCATCCCTGGAAAGAATGGGGAAGGTACCCCTAGAGACTTGGATGCTGAGTCCGAGAGCTGAAGCAAGGAATCCCCAACCAGAACCCCCCAGGTGGCAAATAACCCCAAAACAGCCATTGGGAGGTCATTCGGACCATTTGCCAGCCATTGGGTCCTGGAAAAGGACCAGTTCGCTACTCCAAAGGCTGAAATAAGAAGTGGATCCCCAAGTCGTAAAGGAGCAGGGCGAGCTCGTGAAAACCCCCCGGATTTCGCTCTAAAACAAACAGATTGGAGTTGCAGCGGCTTCGTCCCTGGTTCTTGCAGAGGGTTGAAAAGGACGCCTTTTCTCCCGGCACCACAAGTCAAAACCACCACCTTTGGCTCTCCCCCTTTTTTTCGTGCAAGCCAACCACCTTCAAGCACACCCAACCCAAAAAGACACACCCATATCAGAACAGTTATCGAATTGGGGGATCCGCCCCCGCCATTGCTGCTTCAGTTTTGTGACAATAGCACTACAAGCTAAACCATTACCATCTGGCACCAGGATTCTGGGTCTGACTTTGAATAACGCAGGCTTTGGGGGGTTGCACTTTGGATCAGGTGCTTAACTTTTTTTTGGCTTCAAGCCATTCAAAGGCTTACAAGGGGTCAGCGGAGTTGCAACCCCATTTGCCGGGATACCAAGGATGCCAATTTCTTTGAAGTGGCTAACACTGTGATCGCAGCGTGGGTCTTTTTCGGTCAGCAAGCACCTGCCACCTGAAGATTCAGCGCCGTTCCTGTGCTTTCCAGTAAATGCATGACCTATCATGGCATGCTGTGTTTCTGCCACATAGTTCCTTACAATACTTCTGCGCAAAAAGTTTGCTTAAACCTGAGCAAGGACGCGTGTGTTCATTCTGCGGCCACCATCGCAAATATAGATTCACAGGATAGGCGCAAGAGCATTTCCTTGCAGGGAGAGGAACACCGCGTCCTCTCCGCAGCACGCCCGCAATCACGATATTCCCTCGAGCACGCCCAGGAGAAGAAGACACACATGGCCCACCTCTGACAGAATTCATTGCTGCCCTGGTGGGTCAAAGAGCAGATGCCCTGGGAACACCTGAGGACAAGTCAGCAGCTGCTTGAAGAAGGGCGAAACAACAAAACAAAGCAAAACAGGGAACGACCAAATGAAACTCTGCTCGAGACGAATGCCTCTTGCACAACCTCGCTTTCAAATTCACTCACGTTGACCCTCCACGATACTACCAAGGCACCAACACCAAAACAAGGTCGCAAACCCCGAACATACGTTTGTTTGTCATTTTCCCCGGATAGCTGCAAGCTATACCAGGACCCCTGAATGGCTGGCAAATAACCCCAAAAAAACAGCCATTGGGAGGTCATTCCACAGACCATTTGCCAGCCATTGAAAAGGTCCTGGATATGTTTGTTTGTTATTCCCCACGGATAGCTGCAAGCTATACCAGGACCCCTGAATGGCTGGCAAGTAACCCCAAAAAAACAGCCATTGGGAGGTCATTCCACAGACCATTTGCCAGCCATTGAAAAGGTCCTGGATATGTTTGTTTGCTATTCCCCCCGGATAGCTGCAAGCTATACCAGGACCCCTGAATGGCTGGCAAATAACCCAACAAAAAACAGCCATTGGGAGGTCATTCCACAGACCATTTGCCAGCCATTGGGGGCGGTCCTGGATATATTTGTTTGTTATTCCCCCCGGATAGCTGCAAGGTATACCAGGACCCCTGAATGGCTGGCAAATAACCCAACAAAAAACAGCCATTGGGAGGTCATTCCACAGACCATTTGGGGGCGGTCCTGGATATGTTTGTTTGTTATTCTTCCCGGATAGCTGCAAGGTACACCACGACCCCTGAATGGCTGGCAAATAACCCAACAAAAAACAGCCATTGGGAGGTCATTCCACAGACCATTTGCCAGCCATTGGGGGCGGTCCTGGATATGTTTGTTTGTTATTCCCCACGGATAGCTGCAAGGTATACCAGGACCCCTGAATGGCTGGCAAATAACCCAACAAAAAAACAGCCATTGGGAGGTCATTCCACAGACCATTTGCCAGCCATTGAAAAGGTCCTGGATATGTTTGTTTGCTATTCCCCCCGGATAGCTGCAAGCTATACCAGGACCCCTGAATGGCTGGCAAATAACCCCAACAAAAACAGCCATTGGGAGGTCATTCCACAGACCATTTGCCAGCCATTGAAAAGGTCCTGGATATGTTTGTTTGCTATCCCCCCGGATAGCTGCAAGCTATACCAGGACCCCTGAATGGCTGGCAAATAACCCAACAAAAAACAGCCATTGGGAGGCCATTCCACAGACCATTTGCCAGCCATTGGGGGCGGTCCTGGATATGTTTGTTTGTTATTCCCCCCGGATAGCTGCAAGGTATACCAGGACCCCTGAATGGCTGGCAAATAACCCAACAAAAAACAGCCATTGGGAGGTCATTCCACAGACCATTTGGGGGCGGTCCTGGATATGTTTGTTTGTTATTCTTCCCGGATAGCTGCAAGGTACACCACGACCCCTGAATGGCTGGCAAATAACCCAACAAAAAACAGCCATTGGGAGGTCATTCCACAGACCATTTGCCAGCCATTGGGGGCGGTCCTGGATATGTTTGTTTGTTATTCCCCCCGGATAGCTGCAAGGTATACCAGGACGCCTGAAACCTAAAACCACAGTTTGTCATTGAGAAAAGCTGAAATCCTTGGCAGGCGCATTGAAAACAAGAAGAGCGAACCTTGAAAATCACCAGGCGCCTCATGGCGTGCCCCGGATAGCTGCAAGCTACAGGGGTTGTCTTTCGGGGGAAACTCTCTCTCTTTGTTAAGGGAATCAGGCCGTGGCTCAACTCCAAGGATGGAGTCGAGGCAGGAGTCCCTTGCGGGCTCCTGACGTCCCCATGGCGCAGGGGCAACATGGTCATGTCGACCCCCAAAAAAACCGCCCCCAGCTTTCCAAAATCCGGGATGGGTGATTGTGACAAGCCCCTCCAAAAGGTGGCCTGATTCCCAACTAAACCCAAAGAAACCAGAGAACCCTATGAATAAAAACTGGGGTTGATTAGTTGATTCATATGGGGTCCACCTTAAGCCATTGGAGAGCTCGCACCAAAACCGCGACGCTTCTTAGGCCGTGGAATTCCACCGGAAAACCTTCGCGGCAAGCCCAGGGGGTGGGAGACGCTCAGGAGCCGAGACGGGCTTCGTCTCGAGCGCCCATTGGCCCATTGGCTGGTGCTACCGTGGTAAAAAAAAAATACGGGATTTTGCTAGTCCCTGTTCCACCAGTAGAACCTTCTCCGGAAAAAATGGGCGAGTCAAGGATTCTGGGGCTCATGGTGGATTTGTCAAGATGGGAATTTTCCGGAACCCCCAAAGACAATGGATTTGGTACCCTCAAAATCACACACACACACACACTTTGGTACCCGGCGAATGTCACATTCACCCCCAAAGTTTGTGTTGACAGCGCCGAGAGCGAGTGAACTGGGACAGTTTCTTCCGCTCAAGCAGATTGGCTGGTTGGGCGAAGGGCGTTAAAGCCTGAATGTGTTCGTCCAAAAAAGAACCAGAGCATGAACCCTCGGGTTGATGGGTTGTTTGACTGTTGATGATTACTTGATATTCGTGAAGCAAAGCCATTTGTGTGTCCTATAAAGATATAGATTCCAATGGTGGGTTCATACGTGCACGTAAATATTTAAGGCCTTTGAGGCCAATAGCCATGAATAAAAAGTTAAGGTCTGTTTGCAACCGTCTCCCTTGAAGAGGCTCACTTCCGATCGAGATGGCCCAAAAAAAAGTAGTCAACCTGATATTGTGTATCACTAAAATGGTGATAACCCCCAAAAAAGTGGTACGAAAGTCCGAAACGGAATTCAGGAAGTGGTAGATTCCAAAACACTTTGTCCCAACTCTGGATGGAAGTATCTTCAGCAACATCATGCGATATCGGCAGCCCGGAGTAGAAACAAAAAGAACCAAACACAAACCCGGCGGTTGCGCGGATTGTATAAAAACTTGGTTTGCGTTCTGCTCCCCTAAAAGTTCAACTTTCAGTGGTTATGGAAAACCCATTCGTTGGCAAAAAGTTAGAGTCTTAAACATCCAAGCAAAATGCACCGACCAGGACCCCCCAATGCTGGCAAATGGTCTGTGGAATGACCTCCCAATGGCTGTTTTTTTTGTTATTTGCCAGCCATTGGGGGGTCCTGGCAAGCGGTTGCGCGGATTGTATAAAAACTTGGTTGCGTTCTGCTCCCCTGAAAGTTTAACTTTCAGTGGTTTAATGGAAAACCCCGGCAACATGCGCCAAAGGGTTGGTCGGATGGAGAAAAAAAAAACTGGTCGCTTTTTAGTCAGACACCTCCGCCCTCCGTTTTGGCCTCCTGGATGTCCAGGGCCAGCTCCAGCTCCAGCACCTTTCTCAGGGTCTCCTCTGCCTTCAGCAGCTGTTCCTGCGGGCTGCGGGGCACGGGTCCCTCCCCAGCTGATCGGAGGATACCCCCAGACCAACATGGAAGCTCCCACCCCTTAAGACTTGGTTCCATTTACAGAGGCCTTCTGGGAGCTTCCATAGTCTGAGAGTGTATAATCTCGCAATATATCCGCGGTGCTTCTTTTCTTTGCACAGCGCTCTTGTACAGACGCAGTTCAACTTCTCCATGTATCAGAACAAGACTTGACTGTGAAAGGCGAGAAATGGATATGGGTTTGAGTCCTTTCCATTTTGGGGGTTCCCCTATGCCAAATCATCTACCTGAACCCTCAAACTTCCAACTTAAATATGAGCTCTAGCACCCAAAATGCTGGTTGGCGCATTCCCTTTTTTCATGGGCAGTTTGAGGGTCCGGGACAATCACAATCGATTGGTATCAAAATGGTCTAAATCCCAGAGCTATGCTTCAAGAATTGGTCCAGGCGGAATTCTCCCCATGGCTTTCGGAAAAGTGTCCCTTCCAATCCTCCCAGCAATTGACATGGAACCCGACCTGACAGGAGGGCTCCGGAAGTCGAAGGGTTCCATGTGACATCCGAGACCCATGGTCTCAGATCGAGGCCTCCACCCTCGGCAGCAGCTGGTTCTCGGCGTCCTCAAGGTCCTGAGAGCGTCAAGTGGAAAGTTGATCTGTTTCATGCTGCTTTGGATTGGTGACCCTGACCATTCTGCTGAAAAGGGAACCTCTCTGAATCAGGTAGCCTTTGGTTGGTGGTTTGGATTGGTGGCTTGGGGATTTGAAACTGTGGCTTTTGTAGAGGGTAAATGGGAATCCCCTCATTCCCAAACGACCCGGAAATAAAAGGTTGACCATTTTGGGACCTTTACTAAAAATGGACCAAAAGGGGAAACCAAAAAGGTTAAAAGGTTGGCTTTGGACAACTGAGATTTGGGCCCCCCAGTTTTGACAACGGGTAACGCTTCCCGTGTGGGTACGAATTTTAGTTCGGCACCCTTTGGTGGACGTCATTTAGGTGGGGATGCATGTCCAGCAACCGTTTGTGAGGGGGTTCCCCATAACCATTCATTGCCATGTGGGAAATATGGAATCTTTGTAGTGGTTTCCAGCCTATGGTCATCCCATGTTCATCGGACCTTTGAAAACCACCCCCCCAAATGGATGAGACCATATCCACGTGTCTTGTTGCATCGTTGCATTGGGGAAATTAAAACATATTCTGAAACGCACATGGAAGTCACAAGTCATCTAAAAGATAAAATTGAGAAGACCCCAGGTTCAGTGGGTCCGCAATATTTGACAATTACCTGTCCCATTTTGGCTGTTGGACAAGTACTGGGTCTGGAAAAACGGGAATAATTGGGGGGAGGGGGGGCAAGGGTCTCGAAAATTGGAAAATGGCGCATCCTGTATGGCTTTCTTTTGGGGGTGTCATGTCATGCGGGCTGTGTTCTCTCAAAATGCCCAGTAGTCGTTGCTCCATTTGGGAGGGACATGAGGGACTCGCTTCCCAAAAACTAGGGGCCTCTCTTGGGAAACTCAGATTCTCATAGACGACTTCGGGTTTTGTAAGCCCTTCCCAATTCTCCCCCGGAAAAGGGGGAAACAAAACCTTGGTCCTCTCATGGGAATGGATTCTGACAAGTGTCTTTAGTGGTTACTGTTCGGGACGCGGAACTCTCAAGGTTGGACCTTACTTTTTTGCGGCTATGCCTTCAGGTACGAGGAAACCAACCAAATGAGCCGAGTTGGTGCCCAGGCAAGGTCTCCAAAGCGAACTCCCATGAACATTGGATTCCCTTGGGCGTGTCATTGAAACAAAGCCTCAAGAAATGTCTCCTGAGATTGGCTGAACATTTCGTGGGGCCCGTTGCTCTGTTGGTTTCCCGTTAAATCCAAACAGGGCGTTCCCAAGAACCGACCCCAATATGGTTTGGTGCCATTTTGAGATTTGTGTGTTTTCAGGGATGCTAAAGGGGATATTTCGGGGTTTGCCATTAAGAGACATAAGAGGCAAAACAATACTGTGTTTTCTTCTCCAAAGATTGGGCAAGGATCGCATGACACGGAAGCCATCTCAGGACTTTGCAACTTTTCGTGGTCCACCAATGTCCATAGCGGACAACGAACCGGCTGTATGTCTCTCACTGGTTGAACTTGCCTTCGGGGTTGCGCCGGTTCGGCCAGTGAGTCGAAGGCGATCGGCCAAGTCATGGCGATTTGCGCCTTGACCCTCTAGATTGAGCGTTGACCCAGATTCTGATCCAATACCTCTGAGGGTTTTCTATAAGGCCTTCCCAATTGAGCTCAGGCCTCACCAAAAAAAAACAAAAAACCAAAAAACGAAAACAACACAACCGGACACCTGTGGGAGCCTCCGGGCCAAAAGCGATGCCGACTCCAGGCCTCCGGCTCCAGCCAGAAGAGCCGCGGCGATGCGCCGTCGCGGAAGAAGCGCCGCAGCTTTTGCAGCTTGACCTGCCGCGCCTTCAAGGTGTCCTCAGCAGATGGTGTTCCACTCTCGAACTGGTTCTCGGATGCGAAACTGACGAACACCCAAAAACGCCATAGGTCCTCCAATGGAAGTTAGAAAAAAAACGGTACCCATTCTTGTTTTCTTCTTTTTGTGTTTTCTGTAGTCTATTTTAGCAGGGGAGCCCTCCCCCAATAAAGGGTAAAAGGGCACTACTGGGGGACCTAGTCAAAGGGGCGGTCCGGTTTGAGCTGATGCCCCGGCTAAAAGTGACGAACGTTAGTGGGCTAAATGGAAACTACCAAAGGGAATGACTAAGGGATCGCGATTCTGTCAAATGGCCTGTAGATGATAAGGGCATCCCATGGCATGTAGCAGTTATCCCAAATGCAACTGGCAGTTCAAATGGTTGGCCAACAGCCCACGGCAGCTCATGGGTACTAAGTTTGAAGAGTGAAATCGTCTCAAATTAGAATTGGGCAGGTTGTTCCAATTAGTTCGTTATTACATCACCTATTACCATGATGGCAGGCGGATTGCGATTAAGTGTGAATACATCCGACATGATTATTGGAGAAAAAATCAAACTAAGCATGACATTTTAGAGATGCCATGGTTTTACAATTCACAGGCCCCGGCCCCCAGCAAGGGAAAACATGTTTACCTATTGCCTATTACCTACTATTAAATTCGCTGTGTGAGGCAGGTCAACTTTGCCACTTAGGGGTGACCTGCAGTCGCAGTGGTCCGCCCGACTTAGGGGTGACCTGCAGCGGCAGTGGTCCGCCCTTTTGTGCGCCGAACACGCCGCTCGGTCCAACAATTTCCAAGAGCCACGTCCTGGCAACGCACGAAATGGCCGGGCAACCCAAGGCGAATGTGCTTCTGCATGATCGACTTACATGGGACTGACAGTCAGCTGTCAACAACCAGTCGACTCAATCATCGTGATTCTGATGTCAGTCACCACCCACTGCCTAATATTTAGTTTGGGACAATCGACGCTCGTTTATAAAAAAACACAAAGCCATTATGTGATGATAGCTATAATATTAGCGCTGCGTGTTTATCAGCATTGGGGCCCGTGCTGTCAAGGAAGTCGATGCTCCTCCCAGAGGACTGCCCAGCGGTGGTGGCAGACAAGAAGCGCAGGGCAAGGCGGCAGAGGGCAAGGCTGGATGTGCTGCACACGAGCTCCGACAGCGATGCCCCATGGAAACACGACCACAAGAAGTTGCTTGGCACCCAATTCTAGCAAGAGGGTAAGATGGCATTGAAGGTCAGGACAAACTGCTTGCTATCATGGGTTTGAGCAGGCAGCGTGCTGCGCTGCAAGTTGCGTTTGCTGGTGGTGAACAGTTGCGCGACTTTCGCGGCGTCGCAGTTGCGCACAGTGCGTTGCTGCCTGCTATAATTGGCTGCCACCAGAAAACGCAATTTGCAGCGCGTACATTCCTGCAGCTGTGCCTGCATTGCGCTGCACGCGCAAACGCGCACAACCTGCAACTTGCAGCGCAGCACGCTGCCATCAACTGCAATTTGCGCGCAGCAAATTGCAGCTGAACGCGGCCACGCAATTGCGCGGCGCGCAATTGCGCAGGCGCATCATCTAGATGCAAGGATGACAAAGGGGAGGGCCGAAACATGACTTGGGCATGGCTTCAGCACCCACGCACACCGTGGGGGGCAGTGAGCGTCGACGGCTACACCCTGACCCTGGCAGTGAACCCCTGCAACATCGTGCGCACCTACAACCTGACTCCGTGCCCTGCTTGACTTCAGAACTCCTCATCTCATTAAACGAATTTAGGGCTTAAAGTTTGTAGCGACATATGGTTTCGCTCAGCGCACCCAGCTCCAAGGCAGTGGACATCATGGGCTACAAAACTTTAGACTGGCAAGCGCTCGACACTTCGCAGAGCTTGGACAGGATGCCAGTCATGAGAAGCAATGAGCGACTTGTCAGTACTGCCCAGCCTTACATCACAATGATCTCAACAGTGATGAGTGGATGTCACACAGCATGTTGTTGAGCCCAACCCAATTTCACTTGCTTCGATGTCACGCAAGAGGCCCGGCGGGTCATACCTTTTGGACCAACGGCGGCGCTTTTTGGTCAGCCCTGCCCTCACCATCTTCAATTGATGCGTTGCTGAAATAACGCAGCCCACGAGGCGAGGAGAAGCTCATGCTGATGGGCTTCCCCATCCACAAGCTCAGTTTTTCCCAGAACAGCCAAAATGACACTAGGCTTGCAATTTGCTCAGTCAGGCTGAAGAATCTAAATCCCGAAGAACAGGTGGTGCTAAGCGAGAGGAACCTGCCTGGTTCTTGTGTTCGCAACTAGTGTGTTCACGAGCAACACAACCCTCGGTTCACATCTTGAAGTGTTTGACTCGCAAGACCTAAGGGTTGGGCTCTTTTGAGTGGATTTGGAGCTTGGCCAGGGGATGCGTCCGAGTGCGTGCTTCACATTCATGCACCATAGCCTGAGATCGAATGTGACAGAATGACATGACAATGAGTTAGACCATCAGTTGGCATGCCAGCACGAAGGCCGGATCGAGATGCATTTGACGATTGGGCAGATGCTGAACAAACTACTCCGTGAGACCATGTGCGATTATCATGATGCTTTCGATCAGAACCACAATGAATGACAAACATTTGTTCCGGGGGACGGTAGATTAACTGCGAAGGGATGAACCACCGTCGCCCAAGCCCATGGCTTGCCCGCGATGATAGTGGCAGCAGCGGCTCCGGCAGCTCGTCAAGCAGGTCGCGAAGTCGCAGCTTGTCAAGCAGGTCGCGAAGTCGTAGCTGGAGCAGCTGGCAGCAGCAGTGCTCGCAGCCACAAGGAGAATGTGGGCGGGGGCTTAATGTGCGAACCAACAGGTTAAATAAACGTAACTGTTAGGGCTTTGGGCTAGAAACAGGAGAGCAGCAGTGGTCCTTTCAACACTTTCGCCCTCTCCTGGGTCAACTGGCAAGCTTTGCAATCTGCCACTGGCGGGTGAGCAACAACAAGTTGCAAACGGACAATCTGCAAAAAGGATCAAGAAGGTGCTTTCAGGGGAAAAGCAAAGTGGCTGCGGCTGCAAGCAGAAGACTCTGCACTGAAGCCTTAGCACACGGTTTGATTGTGCTTGGATGCCGGTCTTGTTTTTCTTTGAGCCCAGTGTTGTTGGCAAACTAAACAATTACTTGTTGCACAAACAGGCTTGTCAAACGACACGGTGTTGGCGCAATTTTTCCTGGACATATTTGCTGAAGATTTGCGTGGCATTCTGGTCCATCCCGAAGGGAGGCCAAGATGCATTGCTGTGGTCAATGCAGCAGTGGGCAACGCAGGCTCGGACATTCAGACGATGAACTGGAAACCGCTGGCATTTGGCAGGCAGGGGCATGTCAACCATGTGTTGAAATTGTTTTGGTGTTTAGCGATTATTGTTTGTAGAAGCATCATGTAAGAACCCCCCCAAGAACTCGGGTATGCCGCGACGCTTTTGCAAAGATGCTTGGGGTCGGTCAGCACCGGCTTGGCAGAACGCGGCGGAACTTCCAAGGGATGGACGAACGCTTTGGAAACAAGGCCACTGTGAGACCGATCCTTCAGGAGCAGTCGTTGGACAGTTTTTTCAGCAACCCGTATTTTTCCATTGCGGAGACTATGCCAACTGGGCCTCTCAGCTGTCAGTGAGTCAGCGCGTCGACAGAATGATAATAAAAATAAGAATTATAAAACATTAATAATAAAGATAAGTAGTAACAGTAATAATAATAATAATAATAATAATAAAGATACTAACTATAACACATTCATAATAAGAATAGATAGTAAGTAATACGTAATAATAATTCAATGATAATAATACGAATACTAGTAATAATAATATCACTGTGGCGCTCATTAAAACACAGTAATGAATAGTCATAGATGAAATTGGGCAGTTCTAACATTAAAGGGGCCACGTGTTAGCATGGCAAGGGGGAAGTCCACGCAGCCATATCATATCACACATTAGAGCGGAGCGAAACCCTATCAAATAGTTTTAAGGATTGTCATTTAGGAGTTGGGAGCGAATGTATTGTTTAGGGGATAATTTTGCAATAATGTCAAGTTGACTATAAAACTACTTGTCGCAACTCTTTCATTCTTCTTTGCCCCGATTCTTGAAAGCTTGGCGCAGCCAAGGACGGTGACACGGTCCCAGTATCCAGATGAAGAAGACGCGCGCCGGACACTGCTGAACCAACTGATCGAGAACGCATTGGAGGGGCCCACTTTGAGACTGCTTCGACACAATCCAGCAGAAATGGTCCGGCATTTTTGGGCTGACCTTGCAAAATGCCTGGCAATGGGCGAGCGGCCTGCCTCACGCTCTACGTTCTACCGTGTTGTTGGGCGATGGCGAACATGCTTGCACTTCAGGGAGAGGTCTTCCCACTCAACCTGCTTGACTTGCGATCGCTTGCGTGCCAAGATGAGACACGCATCTGACTTCACAACTCACGCCACTGCCGCAGATCAACTTTTGGGGCATTTGCGTCTTGCTTGGGCGTGCAAGCAGCAATACTGGTTGGCACGGGCGACGAGCCGCATGAAATCCGAGCTCCTCACACTGATCATCGACGGCTTTGATAAAAGCAAGACGCTGCTGCCACGATGGACTCGGGGTCGCACTCCGAAGGGGACAGTGTTTGAGAAGAACATCCGGACAAATCTCAATCTCTCCGCGGCACACGCGCACGGGTGGGGATTTTACGTCTAAATCTCAGACGAGCAGATCGGCAGGATCCTCGTGGTCTTGGGAGATCGTTTTTCGCACGCTGGAGCACGTATTTCACCCAGCCAGACGCTCCAACCTTCGCGTTCCCTCTGGGCTGTGGTTACAAAGTGATAACACTGTAAAAGAAATCAAGAACAGCGTCTCTGGATTGCTGCGCAGTTGCCTCGCCAGCCTTGGCTACTTTGAGGACATTGGCCACTACCACTTGCCGAAAGGACACACGCATGAGGACATAG